ATAATAATAATAATAATAATAATAATAATAATAATAATAATAATAATGATAAAAGAGAAGACAGAATATCTTCTTATTACTACTAACATTCTAAATCACTGTGTTTGGATTGTCAGCAGTCAACAAAAATGAGTCCGGAGAGTTCACATTCACCCTGGTGTATGTGCGTGTGTGTTTGTTTGGTTTTCATTTTTACTCACGCAGGTACCTCCGAGTTTGTGGCTCTCGATCACGGCGGTGTTCGCTCCGAGTTCCGCCGCTCTCCGAGCCCCGGCCAAACCTCCAGACCCGCCGCCGATCACCAGGAAGTCGAAGCGGGTCGTCTCCGCTGCCGATGCCCGGTCAGATGCCATGCTGCGGCGGATCAGTTCGTATCTGCGAGGAGTGGAGAAGATTAGCTTTCGGGCAGTGAACCAAGTCGAAGCGTTGATAACTGCTAGCTGGCTCAAGAATATTGCCATAACCAGGAAGCTGTTTCCGGGTAACGAGGTAGGGACAGAATGGGAGGGTCAAGTGAAAGCCTCTGCTGTGTCATTGTGACTTGCAACAATGATGTGCAAATCCCAGAAACAGTTTCCACAATGCACACGGCGAGCCTCACATGGGCAGCTGTCCGGGGGCTACTGCAACAAAGCAGGTATTATCTGCTGCAACTGTTCGATTAAATAATACAGCTGTCGTGGAAATGTGCTAAGACCAATGGATATTCATTGACCAGACCTATGAACTATCAGAAACATATAGCTAAACTCACCTTCGTAAAGACACACACAGTAACCTGCGGATTGTTAAACCCTGCATGCTCCCATATGTTTACAAAGCATTTCGATCCATGTCAGCGATGGGAACGAAAAATGGGAACGTCAAAGTCTAAAACCGCACACAGTGAGGTGACTGTTTGCCTCTATAAACCTTCACAACTTCACAGATAACGGTCTATTCGCGTTAATTTCGGTGGAAGACGCCGACAGTGATGCGTTCCTCCTTAACAGCACGTTGTTCTGTCCTATATTTACGTCCCTACGTAAATTATACGCTGATATGTGAAGTGTCAATCTTTAAGAATCGCACTTGCGCAAGTCAGCCCGTTGTCAAGGCGACACAATTCGGGCAAAAGAGAACCGTCAAAGTAAAAGACACTTCCCGCAAATACGCTAAACTCACAATAAATATAATTTCTGTCAACTTTATGAACATTTATGATCTCAACCATAAATATTCAACTTTCTCAGTTATGCATTTTAGGTCACGATGCAATTGAAAAACATGTAATTCAAAAAAAATCCCCAAATGAGATTAAATGTAAAATTTCTATTTTAGTTTTTAAAATACCAGAACTTGCACGTCTTTGGAGTTTTTTTTTTAAATCTAACTACCGCAGTTCTAAATATCAAATCAGTGATGATCAGTTACTTAGTTATTAAATCTCGTAAAATAAAATATTGTTTTACTTTTATTTATTTGATTTGTATATTTACTTGATTAAAAATGTAGCACTACATAAAAAAAAACGATTCTCACTTCTGAGACAAAAACTTCAAATATAAAGTTAACATTCCATGCTTTTAAATTGAAAAGAAGACAATTATTTCCGGAATTGTATCCAATTGCTAGCTCTTGACAGCTAATAACAAGCTAACTCTGAGGGGATCCATTTGCTGCGGTGATATGCGTTAAAATCTCCCCGATCGAAGGTATTTTCACTGTTTTTACGATCTCTAAAACTATGTGACAGACCATAAACTGTTTCACTGCAGTCAAATTAGATGCATGCTAGACACTTGACTCATCTGAAAACATAAACATTAGGAGACCGGAGCGTCGTCCGGGAGAAGCTCCTGTTGGTTAGGGAGGGCCTTTTCCTTATGTTCAAAGCAGGCTAGCTCCTGACTGCAGATAGAGAATGCTAATAGGAATACATGCTTTCAGTCTGATTAACTTCCCGATTACTGCAAGGATGTAATGATTTATAATTTCGTGGATAGATAGCTGGATAAAATGCTGCAATAGCTGTATGTGAGGGGGAGGGGTTTATGGGCCTCCTCTTCATAAAGGCAGTGTTGTCTGTAAGGTTCACTGAGTGCTGTAGGTGTTCAAGCTCTCTCTTTTCATCTGCTCCATACAGGCAGGTACACCTCACTGACTTCTACTTGACTGCAGCAGTGTGGATCTTCCTGTGGACCAAACCCTGGATGTCAGGTGGACATCAATCAACTTTATGGAGTGAAGGACTTCGGTTGTTATCGGCGAGACCAAATGACCAGTAGAGTCCACCATGAAACCTGTGACCTATCAAAGCATACCATCATCTATGAATGGTGTCCATCCAAACATGGCGCTAGAGCGTCTTTTGGGCACCTCAAAGATGATGTACTGTGAGAAATGTGGCTTTACATCCACAGACCCTGTGGTGTTCAAGACGCACATGATCGAGCACGGGACGAGGTTTTACTGTTTTTATTGCAACGCCATGTACTTTAGTGAGGCGGAGCTGAACGAACACTTGAAGCAGCATACGTCAAAGTATCCATTCAAATGTCTCCACTGTGGACAGGGCTACATGAGGAAGAGGTGTATGATGAAGCACATTGACCGTTTGCATAGTAACAGCATAAATCAAGGACCTGCTAAGTCTGGCGTGACAAAAGCTCCGCCCGTTGCTGTCTCCAGTGCCTTAAGAAGTGCTCCCACTGCTGATTCGCTGCTGCCGCCTCCTCCTCGACCTGTCGTCCGGGTGGCTGTGCCGACCCCAACTGCGCCTGCTGCCAAATTGGGGAAAACACTGGACACAAACTTAACCAACACCACTAATGGCAACACAGAACGCTTGCCTCATTTAAATGGACTCAACAGGGCCCTTACAGTATCTTTACCAGAGGAGGTGAACATCCCTGCTGGTTGCTTGGTTGAACTTGTTGAGGTGAAAACTGTTAATGGGACTAAGGAACTGAAACTGCGGCTCATCTCGCAACAAGAAAATGAGTCTGTGATAAAGAACACAAAACCTGCAACTCTCCATGACCCTGGTCCGGAGAAGCCATTGTCGTCCACACTACATCACCCAAACACAATGAGGTCAGTAAGCACTAGCATGTGCACAGGCAGCAGGAAGCAAAGCGAAACAAAAACAATGGCAAACGTCGGCGTGAACTCTACGAGCAATCCAACAAATGTGGTAACTAAAGAGAAGGTTGTGCTGAAGAGGCCTTCGATGGACGTTATCAACCTGGAGTGTGACGCGGTCATCCCAAACAAAGTTTCCAAAACCATTCTCACTCCTATGCGGGAAGCAAATACTGGGATTAGAGTTACACAGGCGGCACCTGTAAACCACATCTCCTCGTCTTCAGGTGTCCTGTCTGGCAGAGGTCCTATCAGGTTGAATACTGGCCTGCATCCTGTCACTGCGGCAGCTAAAGTTTCTCAGAGGATTGTGGATGAGTGGAATAATGCAACTGTAGATCTCTCTAAGAGCATTCCACCCAGGAGGTTGTCCGACACAAATAGTGTTCAAGAAGTGTCAGCACTTGTGAAGCTGGGAGCTCGGGAAGTTCGCCTCAAGAGCAACTCTGCTTCTAAAGAAGACAAAGATGTAGTGTGCTTGGATCAGCAAAGCACACCAGCTTCAAAGTCTTTAAGATCTCCTGTTCCTCAAACCATTAAAGTGAGATCTCCTGCTGCTCTAGTCAATAAAGACAATCTTGCAAATCAAACTTTTCCAATAAAAAGCAATTTGATGAAACCCTCATCAGTAAATACCCCTGTCCTATCTAATCACACAGCCCCTACAATATCGACATGTATCCACGACGTTGGATGTAAAAACATAGCAAAAGATGGCGACGTCTTAGAGCCTCAGAGTTTTCCAGTTATCTCCTCTGTGTTTTCATTAAGCGAGCAGCCAGAGGAAAGCCAAGGTCCAATTGAACCACTGGTAATGGCTCTGAGAGGAATAGTGATGCATAAAAAACAGAGCACAAGTCAAGATCAGATCAGAAACGGCACAGATGAAAAGCTTAAGGCGCCAGCGTCAGGCCGATGCATCCAGCAGGCTGAAAAAAACGGGGTCTTCACCTGTGATGTGTTACTCACAGAGAAGTCAACTGAGTGTGTGAAAGTGAAAAAGGAGGTTAACCTTCAGCCACCAGCATTGACGCAAAACAACATTCACATCAAGAAAGAAGAAAATGGAGAAAAGATAGAAGACACTAACAAATGCAGCCACAGTCCTGATTTAACGCCTTCTGCATGTGAAGATTCTAAGCCTGCTTCACCTGTGGAGAAAACAAACGCTGTGGATAAAGTACAGCAAGCAGAGAAAGTCAAGGAGGACGAGTCCTCCAGGTTCTTGACCATCTCTCTTAAACGAGTTCAGGTTGGCATCTGGAAAAAAAGCAAGAAAGGACTTAAGGTTCGAATATCCAGAGACAAGACTCAGCTACCGGCAGGCAGCCTCAATGACTGTACAGTTATCTACCCCATGCCGCTGAAGGAGGACCAGCTGGTCAAGCGGCCAGGTCCGAACCAGCCGGTGGTGGTGCTTAATCATCCGAAGCCCCGGGCTTGTGTGCAGAGAACAAGGGCGGACTCCTTTTCGGACATGGGAGCCTCTGATGTGACTCCAAAGTGCCAAATTTTAAAAATGAGGCTAAGCAAAGGGATCGGACAGAGCTATGAAGTGATGGGATGTACTGTTAGAGACTTTCCCTGAATGTAGTGTTCCATCTGTGGACATGAGTGTACATTTATTATAAAAGTAGTGTTATCTTTGAAGTCTCAGAAAATATTAAGGCGGTTATTTTCTTAACGCAAAAAATATGGACATCAATGTTGTAAATTGTGTTATTCTGCATATTCAAGTGCAATGCAGGTTGATGCTTTTATGCCCAGGAATTGGACTGTGTGCCACTATAGACTCCATCAATTAGTTCTGAAAACTGTTCAAGAAGTCCGAAAGTCCGTTTAATGTATTATTAAATGTATTTTATTTAAAACCAGTTTTTATCAGTGACGTTCATCTGACGCAGACATGCAGCAACATGAAAATGGTTGAATTACAGGAGTTCATGTTACCTTTCACACAGAATATTGTGGAATATTCACATGTTTGTTATTCAGGATTGATAAAATACAAAACAACCTGAATCCAAATATTCACATCAACAGAGAAGTTCTAAATATATCTGAACAATATTTTTTTTTCATTGATGTTTGAAATTGCTACCATCAGTGACATGTTTTCATCGTTCAGGCACTCCATGATAATCCGTGTTTGAGAAATATTCTGTGCTTTTCAAAAGGTCATAAGTCACTGGTGAGTTCATCAAATGAAAATCTATGCTTTTGGAAAATATTCTGTGCTTTTCAAAAGGTCATAGGTCACTGGTGAGTTCATCAAATGAAAAGCTTCAATGAGAACGCTGCTGTAAGGTGTGAGAAGTAAAATTTAGACATAGACTCCTTAGTTTTCATGCTTGTTTGGAAAAGTTAATCATCACTGGGTGTTATGTGGAAGCGTTTAAGAAGTATTCTTAAACTTACAAAAAGTGTGACAAGAAGTGTAATAGTTGTACTTTACAACTTAAGTGTTTACTACTCTGTCATCCATTCATTAATGGTAGCATTTTGGGCGTCACCAGATGACATGAGGTGATTGAGAGCCTTTATGATTTTAGGGGAAAGTAATAATTTAGACTTAACACTAGTTAGGATGGAGGTAGATGTGGTAGAAACGGAAAAGAATGTGCATTACTTTATCTTACCATGTGTGAATTACCATAAAGGCTCTTGATTTTTGTGGACACAAAGTAACCAAATCCTTTACTATTTTGAGTTTCCCGTCTTATCTCAAACAAAAGATGTAAAGTTTTACAGAGAAAGAGATTAAGTGTATGAGGACGAAATAGACCCACATGTTTATTTTTTAAAAGCTTTTTTCTGTCTTGATGATAAATGTATTTATTCTTGAGTATTCCAAACCGGTTGTATATATTTTCTCAACATTTTAACTTGCATAATCTTTTGACCGGATCATTTTCAGATTATATTGCTTCTTATGGCAGCACGATGACACCTATTTGTTATATAATCCTGTCCTACAAGGTGCTAGACCAATAATTACATTCATAGTTTTTGGTTGCCCACGGACGATATTTATGGATGTTTTCTATTTCTTTTTTTGTTTATTTTTTGGTTATGTTGGTCATGTGTTTGTAAATAGACCTAAATATATAGACCCTATATGTATGTAAAATCAAATAATGGTGTTCATACTAAATAGAGAATGGCCACCACCTCATATCCCTCCTTACACTGCAGTATCTGAAGCTGCTGTGCAGTCACTGATATAAATTATTTCAAAGAGTCAGAAACATTTTACCTTGCCTTTACATTACTTCTCATTTGTGCTAGAGTTAGTCATCATGTAGTCCAAATGTGTTTTTGGTTTTCATACATGCTCAGTGTTTGTTATTATTGTGTTTCCTCCTTTTATAACAGTTGTGTAATTCCATATTTTCTAATAAAAACACAAGAAATATATTAATAACTGAGATGTTCTGTTTTCCTCTGCAAAAAAATGTTCGATCAGCTTTTAATTCACACTGTTTGCCCTCTCTAGTACACTCCTCTGTTTGCAAATACCAGACATGAGTTCTAGAAATAAAGCTAATGATGTACAGAAAGCTTGCATAGGCTGTGATATGTATGGTTGTGAAAATGTAAATCTAGAAAGATTACAGTTTCTGAAAAACCTTTGAAAACATGCATAGATCAACTTTACAATTTTTCTTCTGACATCTTGTGCAAGGGCCCTCAACTGTGGGAGGTCTTGATTGCAGTTAGCAAAAAAGGGAAGTCCTCATGAACATTGCTTCAACATTTCTTTATTAGAAATGAAACCTGACGATAGTGAACCAAAAGCAATATCCACTGACCTGTAAAGTAGGAAACTGAATCTTGTGATACGTTAATACTCAATCATGTTCCAGGTAGAAGTTGAAAGTAGGATTTACTAGTTGCCCTCAATGACCAGCCGGACAAGCTAAAAGTGATGAAATTCTTCATAATTATGCATTTAAAGACTAATAAAACTTGTTTTATATTCAGGTGTGTGCATGTGTTTGAATATTTATTGGAATTCAAATTGCCTGAAGTGCAATTAACTTGTTTGTTACTGCAGCTATCACGGGATTTCAACTGTTTGGCAGATTTTGAGTTCCAGGTTAGAGCAAAGACTGTCTTCAGGGTGTCTTCCTGGTTATTTTCCCAACTTCAATCAAGGCAAACTTTACATAAAAATCAGAGGCAAATGAATAAGAATAATTTTTATTATTGTTATTAGGAACAAATCATATACCAACTTCAATGTCATCATAAATTGTGCAACTGAAGATAACCAGGTCTCGGCACTCCATCCTGAACAACACCTATGTGCAACATTTTTCTCAGAAATTTAAAGGTATTGTGGGAAATAGCTTGAGATGAAAGCATTTTCTTGGCTGGAAGATGCAGACGTTACTGTAGGAGCTGTACAACATCACTTTTGGTTATTGGACATGTCAGCACACAGTTCTCTGGGCTTTTGCTGGTTGCTGTGTTTCTCCCGCTCACGAGTGTTATTGGAAAAATGGAATGGAATTTGATGATTCCTGCTACGGAATCAAACATCTAGAGAAAAACAGAGTTACAATAAATTTAAGACTTTCATGAGTACAATGTCTCCACGTAATTTTTTGAATTATAATACTTACATCATTTGATCGTTGGCCTGTTCCAAGTGCGTACTTCCCAAGGGACCCAATAAACCGGATTTTTACATTATATACTTTCTTCTCATGATACACGACCAATACCAAGGGTTCACTGTTGGTGTTATTGGAGCAGTCTCGAACTAAATATGCCCCATCCTATTATCAGAGTTAGTAAAAATAGAAAATAAGTTCAAGTTTCAAAACATTTAATTGAAAACACAGTTAAAAGTTTTGTTTTTGTTTTACTCTGCTGTTTGTAGAATGTGTTCCTCTTAGGTTTCTGGAGAATTAATATAAAAAGTAAGGACTTTCTAAATTTTCCACAAATAATAATCTAAATAATGTGGTGTGCATTTGTATTTAGCCGCTTTTGCTTTGATTCCCCTAAATAGAATCCAACAGAAATTGCTTTCAGAAGTCACCTAATTGATAAATTGTATTGACAATACACATGTTCATCACACTTTGCAGATTTTTATTTGTAAGCCTTTCCATAGACCATATGTCAGTTTCTTAAATAAAAATGATCACACAAATTCCCAATAAAATGCACTAAGTTTGTGGTTGTAGCGTGACAAAATGTAATAAAATAGAACAGGGCCATGAATATTCTTACGTATTGATATATTGCGATACCTTGTTCACCAGGTGCAAGGCGTGCTCAGCATCTGTGCGATTACAATGTCCAACATACCAGTCTTCCTCACAGTAGGTCTGTAATAACAAATGAGTTCATACTTCAGTTGTAAGCTGTTATTATTAAATGTAGGACAAATTATGAGTACAAAATGTTTGTACAGGACAACTTACGTTAGGCTTGTCCATTGGAAAAAAGTCATTTTGATCAATGTCTTCTTTGGTTTGAGGCCACTCATGGTGATGACGTCTGGACGCCATCCCTTCTTTCAATAGATGTAACCTGTGACTTATTTAACCAATTTTTAATAATGATTAAGATGATTTCTAACATAAATACTCACCTACACGTTGATGTGACCTGAAGACAAACATACAGCTATTCAGAAATTACATTGAGCATCACTTTTAGTAATGAATCTGATAATTAAATGCCCCACCTATTTTCTAAGTCATGAGTCTCCAAATCCAAAGAATGTCGTTGATGGCTCAGCATGCCTGGATCATCTTTAGTAGACTGTGGACCTAAAAGGATATTTAGGATAGTTACAACAACCCCAATGCTGCGTTCATGATTGTCATAGATTATTTTTAAGCCATACTTCTGGAATGTGATCTGAAGTCTGCCTGGGAAAATAAAAGAAAGAGAACACAATTGATGCAGGTTAAAGTGAAGTCTAAATCTATCTCTCAGTTAACTTTTTGCATGTTTCTTTTGGCAATTGCCCTTTGATCAATTTGAGGATCATTCCATTTATTTGCCTTGAATGTTGGAGGATTTCTTGTTACTTTTTTTTAGAGTAACTCAACTGTTTCTAAGTAATTTGTTAATACATAGTAAATTACTCTTAAGCTGCTTGATATGATCTAAAAATAATGAAAGCAAAAAAACAAAAAATAAAAATCAACAACTAGTAAACAAATACATTGTTTGCCATTTTTATTTCTCTCAAAACCCAATGTAAAAAACTTAAGCAAAACAAACCAAAATAAAAAAAGCATATATTAATCAGTGTGAAAATTTTTTAATTTTAGCAGTCTGGCTCTTTGAAAATAAACTTCAGTTAAAAGAGGGCTGGCTCATGACTTTTGCCCAGCAACAAAGAAACCTATGGAAAAAACTGGCTCTGATTATAAAAATAAAGTAGGATGAACTTACCTTTTCAGTGTTTCTCATTTGTCTACTGAAACCAAAAGACCACAAGACATCAATAGAAAGTGTTATTCCACATCAGCTGAGATTTTACCAACCAGCAGATGGAGACATTGCTATACTTTATAATCAGTACCAAACTGCGTAAGGCAGTGGTGCTGACATCCTGCATGCTTTAGTTCTCTCACTGGTTTACCACACCTGGATCAAATGGTGACTCATCAGAACACCAAAGAATAACATTGACATGCTGAAAAGTTTGTTACTATCACCAGCGAGAGAACTAAAACATTCAGGATGCCGGCCCTTGAGAACTGGCATAAAGTCTTGATCAAGTAATGGCATCGTGGACTGTACTCACTCACTCCTGCAGGTTTCATGTACAGCCAGCCCAGCAAGGTTGTCAGATACATCCAAGGCAGAAGATGGGTGTGGCAAAGAACTTCTGCAAAGCATAGAATCTCTATAAATCTGCTCAGCTAAAGTTAAGGAGGAAGACTTCAAGTAAATATTTATGTAATCACCTGTGAGAATGCTGTCAAATTTGAAAAAAAAAAAAAAGATGGAGAGGAAACATGTATTTAACAAGTCCAAATCAAAACATTAATAAAATTATTTTTATTACACAGATGTTTACTTGCTCTTCTGGGTTCAAAGGTAGGGGCCTCCTATCTGTGAAAGCAGCGTGTGATTATTTTGATTATTTGAGTTTCCCGTATTAACCAGAGCGATAGCATGTTCTTTTCGGTATTGAATGGTCTTACCTAGTTTAACTTTTTGCCGTCCTGGCTTTATGTCTCTATTTACAACTGGAACTGAAGTGCAAAAACAGAAACAGCAGAAATAAAATTGAGATATTAAAGCACAAATCATAGTAATTAGTTTAAGAATGAATTTACAGTAATACTACAGGAACTCAAATGTCCTGCAAAGATACTTTTTAAAATACCTTTTATTGGTAAGACTTCTTTATAAATACAAAATTGTACCAAAAAAAAGAATGTGGACACTAAATCTGGCTACTAAACAAGTACAATCTCTTGCATGCAGGCAAAGTGGTTGTAAAGTGTTTGAAGACAACATTAATGTTTTGGTGTGGCCATTATAAAATTCTTATCAAAAACCGAGAGAGAAATTGTGGGCAGATCGTAAAAGGTGTGTGATTCAAACGGCCTACAAACCTGACTGAGTCACACCAGTTCTGTCTGAGCCAGAACTCCAGTAAACTATTGTGAGAAACGTCTGGAAATGAGCCCTAAATGTTTGACCCAAGTAATACAAAGGCAATGCTACTACATACTGAGAAAATGCATGAAAACTTCTGATTTGGACATAAATAAAACAAAAACTGTCATATTATTTCCCACATTATTGTGGCATTTAGCGAATGGAAATTATTTTGTAAATTCTCACAGAAATAAAACAAGAGAAGTTTAGTGAGGAAAACACACCATGTGTGAAAATGCCATATTCAAATCAAACTAAGAATTCATGGCAAGACTTTAAAGGCAGTATCCATCTTAAACTGGATAAGCACGGGGCAAATATTCATGTGAATAGATGTTTAAAGCTGGTGCAGACATTTCTGAGAGATCTATGACCCATTGACCCAGGATGTCTAAAAACACACTTAAAAAACAAGTGTTATTCAGTGATATACAATCCCAATATAATACAATGAATTCTGCTTCTGTAACATGACAGGATTTTAAAAAGCACAGCATGTAAAGTAATGAACATTTAAAGTGCATAAGACTAGTTTACCTTTATTTTGAGGGGTCTCTCTGGGCGGACATCTCGGAAGGGGTCTTGGCTGATTGGTTGAAGAGCAGAACAGCATTTAAAAGCAATACAGAGGTGCAACGGAAGTAATTTACAAGCAGTGAAAACAAGGCTTACAGAAGAGATTGATGACAGGTTCTGAGCAGATGATGGCCACTGAACATCCCTGTCTTGAAGGCAAATAAAAGTGTCATATTATTTGTTGGCAATGGCAGAAGTTTCATTTTCATTTTAGTTCTTATCAAAACCCCGTAACTTGGTCAATGCCATACCCTGTTTTGCGCAGAAATAATAAAAAAAAATCACTCTGATTGCCGATGGAGACTGGTGCAAGTGTAAACATTTAAAAGATGCATTGGGTACATGGTTGGAGACATGCAGCTGTGAAGCCCCTGGCTGATAGCCACATCCATACAGGAGAGAAAAGCCTGTCTGCTCCCATTACTCTTTCCTCCTCCTCGGCTCCTGGATAATTGTAACCTCCCGCAGTCTGACTCAGCCAACAGATGGCCCTGGAGACCCACTAGCAGATCATGCTCACTCAGCATGAGCTCTCAGTCGGAGCCACACTCCTTCCAGTCTCACCATGCATTTAGCCAAGCTGTTTTTACTTCTTTTTGCAAGAACTTCTTACAGACTCTTTCTAATTATATGCACAAGCACATAGTCAGCCCCTGAGTCTTGGCTAAAGTGTAAAGCACAACTTTAAGCAGCTGTCGCACTGTTTCTTATCTTGCCATGTGTATTGGCTTTTTTTTTTAAACATGTGTAATCTGGGTGTGGTGAAAAAATTCCTCCATAAAACAATGGATTTTTTGAAAGATGAAATCATCATCTTGAAGAACGTGAGTTGTTTTGATGTGGTTTTTGGATGTGCGAGAATTAGTTGCGAGAAATTCAGATATTTCATTTATTTATTTATTTTTAATATTAAAGAATTAACTGACCATCTGGGAATGAAACTGCAATGCTTCCCAAATTTCCCCAAACAGTTTGATAATTACTAGCCAAATGAATGTTCATGTCGAGCTTCTGTTCGGTTCATTCATAACATTTGAAGTGAAATGAGGGGCATCTGTTGATGTACTCTTTGGCTACACATAAAACACACCGTTTTCTTGTATGACATCAGGAAATAAAAAAAAAACAATTTGCCAAGATATCAAAAAGACAACTGTGGCCTGTCAGACATCTGATTCATTCTGATTCCTTAAGATGTAACTATGAACAGGATGGAAATGTCTGGTCTAAAAACTGATCAGGAAGGAGACAGATCCTTTGTCTGAGAGATTAACTGTATCAAAGATAAAAATAAAAGACCTTGTGAGCTGCGTTATTCACAGTGAAATGAGTCCTTCCCCATATTGGTGAACTTCCCAAACACACGCCATCATGAGGAAAGGACATCCTCAAGAATCCCAAGACAACAGACAGGATGTTAAAGGACAGGAAGTTTGGGACATAAGTGTGTCCAAAATGGACAATGAAACAAAACACACCAAGAAATTAGTAACAGAACTGTAAGTAAGCCAAATTTTCAAAGTGTCCATCAAAGAACCCATGAACTCGGTTCCGCAGAAAATTTGTGAACAAAGTTGAAAAGGTGTTTGAGAGAAAGATGATGCTCAAATCTGACCCAGTTAACTTAGGCCAGTCTGGAGGAATGGGCCAAAATGACAACATGCTATTGTCATGTAAAGTCATGTAAGTCGTGAAGTTTAAAAGACAAGGCTACTGTTGTGGAAAAAAAACTACTTTACCAAGCACTGTCAGGTGAAATCACTCAATCAGGTTTATTCATATATTGTGCACAATACAGAGAGCTCATAGGACAATCAATAATGACGCAGGTCTGGATGAAAAGCTCCGCCAGGCAGAGACAACACCTGATTTTATACCAAGGATAAGGAATTCAAAACAAGGGGCGAGACAGTCTGGTTCTGATGCAGCTGTAGAAAACAACTTTCAACATTGTACATGTAACCCAAATAGTTATTTTGGTGAGAGTTCACCAGCATTTCATATTACATGATCAGCACATGTTAAATTGTAGTAATTTTCCACCACACTACTCAATTCTTAGGAAATTAATGCACATTTCTAATAAGTGGAAATTATTTTTATAATTGGATGAAAAGTGTAGTTCAATATAATGTATTACAGTATTTTACCTGTTGATATAGTGCATGGAAATGTCTTTTAACTGTATCTGCCCTGATTTATGTAGTTTACCTCTAAATAGACATAAGTATTTAACATTATATTAGATTTTTGTACTTGAATTTTTAACGCTCTGTTAGATTTTTTTATGTTGATTTGTTCAACAAATATAAACAATAAAATCTATGACAACATATTCATCTTTCTTAATTTGAAATTTCACTCTCCCTGGAAAAATCAAGTATTCATCTTCGGGCTTGTACATTTTTATTTGAGAAGATATGAGGTGGTCTGCATGCTAATAACCAGGGAGAGCTACTGAGTTCTGGACTTTACAAGCTAAATCATAGTTGCAAAAACAGGAGAGTACCACAAACATACACTCGTATTTTGGAGAGATTTAAGAAGAAGTGAAATATTGCATTGCAAGATGTACATTATTTCTCTGTTCTTACCTGCATACTCTCTCTCATCATTTATAGGCCTAGCAGGAAATATGCGCACATTGTGCACTTCCTCCTGGTCATCCACCACATCATACTCAGGCTCCATCTTGCCGTCAATGTCACCACATGTCAGAGCTCTGTTCCGGTCTGCTTTGAAGCGATCCTGCAAACAGTGAATTGCAGCTACTTTAGACTATGCTTGTTTCCAGAAACGGGAGCCTGTGGTCTTAGAATGCTTAAATTCTTCTCATTACAGTACAGGTACAGTAAAATATTCTGTGCCATTGCTTTTTCAAATCTAAATATGTGCTTACTGAAAAGCACAGGAAGATGTGAAGTGTTGCAACACAACCTGCTTGTCCGCCAGGGATTTCCTTTTTGAAGCTTTTGACTCACATTGACTCACTCTTGCATTCAGCCTCAGAGAGGTAGCAGCATTCTGCTGCACAATTTTAAATAATGAGCACATTGTTTCAGTCAGAAAATAGATTATGCCTCAGACTTTAAGATTAAACAACGATGGTATGGCTGGACGAATGCATTTGATTGTGACAACTACATGTACTCTATTGCAAAAAATCTTGTGCAAGCCTAAGTCCTATGATTTTCTATGGAATGATTAGCTTTGATTATACCTTGCCAAACACACAGTAGCCTACCTATGCAGTTTCCAACATGCTGACCCGGGATATAAAACATGCTCTTTGAAGAGATGTTGGAATAACTAGAGGGATATAAAACTGAGGCAATTTTAAAGTTTTTCAATCATTGCGAGCTTCGTGTGTCAGAGTTTTGTGCCGTTGTTGGAGGCAAAAAAGCACAGAGACTTGATTTTTACACTGTAAATGCCAGAGGTTTCACAGTTTAATTAGTTTCTCTTCATAGAGTTTTTTGCTGCTGTCAGTGAAGCAAATATTGAACCTTTAGTTGTTAAATAACACTGGTTTAAAGGAAAGAAGTCATTTAAACCAGCTTAAAGGACTGGTTTATAACTGGTTTAAAACACCAGGACAAATAATTTAGACCTATGCAGTGTATACTCTGATTCTCATCCAACTACACCTGGAAACCCCTGTGAACTTGGAGGAATAAATGAGCATAGAGACTGAATGGATGAATGGATTTCCTCATAATTCAAACGAGTGCTCGCTTCTGAAGTGTTTGAACTAACACTACTAAATACATGGCAATGACACAATGTGCAATAAAAACTGGATAGTCTTGTAGAATAAAAATTAATGCCTGTGTCATGATAACAGATAATGTTCAATGGGCCTTTTCAGCAAAAATTATTAGATCCTGCTGTCCATCATCCCCATTATCTGTTCCTCGGCTCATTGAAGCAACACGTCATTATTAAAGGTACTCAACACATAATTATAAAGAATTACCGTACTCCAACCCCTTATATTGCACAACTTCTGTGTTTCAGTAACTGAGCATTGTGGACATAGCTCCAAACAAATAGAGGGAAGACAGAAAGACACGACTGTGGACGTACGACAAGTTTGCAAAATTTAAATTAAACAGCAAGCAAGACAAAAAATTCCCAAAACAGCTGCTGTAATTTTCAGTCAAACACCCAAAATAATCCCTGTGGCTTATGTGTTATATTTACAGAAAATTAACAATTTTAAAGAGTTTCAGCCGACTCCAAAGGTTCCCCCTTGGGAACATTCATGTGGAACCAGAGTTACTGGAGCACCATAACTCACCATTATCACAGCGAACTCATAGCTGCTCCTTCTCACCGCGGCTAACGAGGGAGAAAAACAGAAATGAAAAACATCATTAGTTGGTTGTTCTGCTAAAGAATGTGTCCTTCCAACTCAGTTTGTTCTTGGATTTGTCTTCCTCAACAGTCAGACATGCAGAGGAATGGGGTCTTTAGAAGCAGCACGCTGCGCTTTTCGTGGTTCCCTGCTGCTTTCAGTGGGGGTGCAGTCTTTGCTCTTCGCATCAGGAGAAGTCTGAATTCATTTTTTTTTATTTCAGTATTTTTTACTTTATCAAACTCAACCACTGAATAGCTTCATTAGATAATTTGCCTAGTTAAAAGTATAAAATCTTAATCTCTTGTTTAATCATAAGTTAACATAATTTCACACATATTTTCTTGGTGTTAAATATGTCACAAGTTGGATTTCTTAATGATTTCATCCTGATGTTTATTTTTAGATGAATTTATCACACAAAATGATCTTGTAAGTCTTCAAGTATGAAGCAATATCCCCATGTTAGTTTCACTGCACTCTTCTTTAGATGTTTTTAGAGCATTACTCCATCTGTACCGAGTTTCTGATGGGTTTTTTTTTAACTTCAGGAAGATGTATCCTTTTAAATGTACGCATTTCAACTTTTGTATCTATTCAAAATCTCCACTGAAAGCTCTTCTTCCAAATTTAGAGTGATTTCAAATTGAGGCTTAAATAGAGTTGCTGCCCAGTAAAGGTCACAAATCACATCACAGTTTATTTCAGCACTAAGTGTTAATAAACGTCATGTGGCAATCATGTAAAAATCTAAATTCTTACATTTGTCTTTACTTAGCAGGGTTATAAGACAAACCACAGATTCAAGAAGAAAACTTCTTGTGCACACAAAAGAATAGCGACTAATAGAGTAAGAAATGTTTTTCTAGTCTTCTTATTCAGTACGATATGTCAAATAATTTAATCTTAAAATAGGAGAAAGTTATATGACCCTGAGGAAACAAAACACGTATTTATGCTTTAAAACATTTGTAGATAAAATTCTTAAGATTTGCTCTAGAAACGGGCTGTTTATCAAAATTGAACAAAGTCTACCTTAAAATTAGCTACATTGTGGCGGCAAACAAAAATGTCTAATTTGGCTTTCAAGTTTTATAATGTCTTTTTTTTTTGATCACTCAAATAATCACAATAAACTAATTTGAACTGGTGATCAGACGGCTATATTTGGGGAAACTACCATTTTGAAAATGTATGGTTCAAAAGCACAGCAATGTTTTATCGTATGTTTCTTATGGCGAAAAGATTTTTACAGAAATTCCAGATAAATTAGCCAGAGTTTTGTTTTGTTCAACTGGTTGATGCATATAGAAAAGCACAACTTCCCCTTCCTCAAATGTTGCTGTGCACTGCAGATCAGCCGACTGAAAAAGGGTTCTACATCTATTAATTTATTTTTTTGGTAATAAACAAGTTTGACTGTTGGGAAATACTTCTGTTATATCTTACTTTAATCCATTCTGTTACCTTTTAATTATTCTTAATTTATATTCTATTTCTATTAAAAAACTTCACACAAAAATAAGAACTTGTAAAAATTACTGATAAGTTTTAAATATTTTGATCATTTTCAATGGTCTTGTTTTACTAATCAATTATCTTTTTAATCAATTATTTTTTTCTGCAGCACTATGCTTTATTTTTGTATGAAACATGCTGTGTAAATAAAGCTGGTTTGGTTGTATCAAAATAATGTCAATGAGGTACTATCAATACTATTTTCATCACCATATTAATATTATCTTAGCAGCAGTATAAACGATTCTTGTTCCTCTTTTGAAAGATAGCTAACAAATATTTATATATTTCATCTTTAATTTTTGTCTTAAAGTCTTAGACACAGACCCCAGCTTTGTTTAGTTCTACTGAACCAAAGTCAGTCTTGTCAGCAAAGGTAGGATCAGATGGGATTTAAACCCCTGCGGATTGTCAGACTGAAAGACATTCTTTATCAAATAATTTATGTTTTTCTCTTTCTGGAGTCTCTAACTCTGTAAGTGATACATAGGAGAATTTATTCATTATTAAAACTCCCCTTCTCTGCAATTACCAGGTTTTAAGTCCACTTAGCTGCGTGGACAAGTGAAACAGAATCAGGAAAGACATCCAACCCAAAATAGATGCTAGGAAAATTTAGTAAAAAAAAAAAAGAAAAAAGAAATAGAAAATGCCAGCAGACACTAAAGGCCACCAGCTCACATTTCTAAAGGAAAACTGTGTCTCAGTAGTCTCAGATTTGGCACTGAGGTACAACGCTCAGTGGGAGCCGCCTGGCTTCTTCACAGAGCTTACTGAGACACGCAGAGTGGGGTGAGATGAGGTGTATGAAATGGAGGAGGGATTAAATAGAAGGAGTTAGCATCTGAGGATGAGGACTTACTCTGGAAAATGAACTCTGGCCTCACGGGAATGGGTGCAGAGGATTTTGCTGGATCATAACGACCTGACTTCTCAAGGATTTGTGACCTGGCTTTGCTTTGTGTATCAAGAAAGCATCAGCTGTAGAGATCCAGTAAAGGTTTGATCTCTCAGAAATTATAGTAAGGGCATTCAAAAAGGATGCACTGTGGGTAAAGGAATTTTAATAAGGCTATGTTGGCATAACATATTTATATATGCATTACGAGAGTTACAGTTAAGTTTATTTAAATCTTGGGCAGATTTAGGTTTTAAGGCAATCGTTTTAATTTAGCCAACTTCCCTTTTGTTACTGGAAGTTATAATGATGTTATGGAGTCATGCAGCAACTTGAATCTGATAGGAAATCTGTAGGGCATTTAAGATGAGGTCATGGCAAGAGGGCTTCCTACTAATGATTTCCAACAAACATACCGTTCTTAAAATGTACATAAAAATACTTTATTTTTTTCAAAACAATTATCCTTTTACATTGTTTTAATACCATTCGAGAGATGTTGGTCTCATTTAAGGGAAAATCTTTTCAAATATCAATGCCAGAGTATGACTAGTTTAATCCTGAACCAGTAAGAAATTTGTTTTAATGAATTACAATTTTATTTGGTTTAATATAGATATATTATGAAGCTTTAAATGGAACATAGTTGCATTTTGCTTTGTTACGTAACTACATTTCCATATAAAATGGAATTACCATGATGTGCATATGTGAGATTCTCAACTTCTGTAGGAAATCTATAAAGTGTTTCCCATCTCTCCATTCTTTTTTTTTTTTATTATCCATTTTTAACCTAGATAAGCAAAATTATAACCTTACTTCAGGTTATAATTTTGCAGAAATACTCAATTCGAAGAATAGGAATAAAAATTTAGTCAACTTACCTTTTCTGAAGACTTGAACAAAAGTGCACACCTGCGTCAGCAGGCATCCAGCAAACTCTGCGTCTTTAGTTTGTATTCGGCAACAGAAATAAAAACTCTGCAGTTTTTCTTCTTCTGCCGTACACCGAACAGCAACACTTGAGTGGCTTTTCTGTGAGTGACGAGCAGCCCACTGTAACCTAAAATGACTTCCTGTCTAGTGACTTACTGCCATACTACCTGAGGTGTGTGTTTTAGACAATGTGTACGACTTCCTGAGCTGTGTTCTGTGATAACATGGCATTTCTTGCCATGCTAAATGCTGGCAGTGAACAGAATGAGCAAAATATTCATGAGAAGCATTGCTTTTCAAATCTGCATCTCTCTATGATAACCATCTTCTTTAAATAAAAAAAAAAAAATCAGTAATGCTTCCTATGTTCTGTTTTTGACACCTTGTTCTTTGCTTTATGTGTATCATCACTTTTGCCCAACAACCAGTCAGGAAATCTATGTATTCATCAGAACATTACTTCTTTAAATCAGGCTTATAGCAGTGTGTCACAGCATCGGTTATTTCTGTTGAGGTGACATTTCAGCTTCTGCTTTACTGGCTACAAAAGGAAGCGGGGTGACATTTTGCTCTTCGCATTTCCATCTGCTTTTATTTCTGCATCAAACAAGAAGGTGAACCGAAATTTAAATGTGTGACTACTTTTAATTAAAGGTTAACCTTTCAAAGCGACATTACTCTTCAGCGCGATCATTTTATTTTGGAAAATAAACATCAAGTTAGGTTGTAAACGGCTCCAAACAGTTACAAACGGAGATTTGTAACTTCAGAAAGGAGCTGGCAGAGCAGCTGAGACTAAAAACAGGCATAAAAAGCAGCTTTGTTGTGAATATTTCACCGGAGCTGGATTTTATATCTGAGGATAAAAAAAGTTAACAAATTGATGATATGAGAGATGAAGGGGCAGACATTACACATTATTTTTAAGAAAACATAAACAACAAATTAACATGGTTCAATTTGTAACGTTTCAATCAGTCTTAAAAATCTGGTTTATTCACTTCTTAATTCATCCATCCATCGTCTATACCTGCCTAAGCTTTCAGAGAGGGCTAATCATTATCTGCAGGGATCATTGGGCTCCACATTGATCAGGTCACAAGTCCAACACAAGGCAACACAGAGACACACAGGAAAAACAACCCAGGGGGTTCTTTAGGAACAACATCACTACATTATTCTACTGATTCTGAAATACTCAGCTACATTAGACTGAATTTGGTTTACTTATGAAATAGTCGTTGCAGCAACACCCTTTTCTGAGCAAACATGGCGACAGTATAAAAGAAATGCTTTCCTTTAACAGGAAGAACCCTTCAGCCGAACCTCATTAGGAGCAACAGCAGCCTATTGTAAATCACTGGGAATAGAGAGAGTGGACGGAGCCACTGTGTTATGGTCCAGGAGGTTTTCCTATGAAAAACTCCTGGACTTACAATATATGTATTGTAATACTGACTTGTAACATCTCTTAACTTGGACAGAGACAAACCAAACCAAAAGAAACCAGAAAGCAGTACAATTTTATTGAATGCCTGTACATTTTATACTTTTATAATAACTTCACAACATGCAGACAGTTGTACTCCAGCTGAGAAATGTTTTTGAGTTCACAAATGCAACTTACAGTAAAAAAAAAAGCTAAACTGTTTAATAAACTAGACACAATATATCGTCTCTTTTATTTCCTAGAGTGAATTAGGCAAATATGTTTGTAGAGCAAACTTTCCCTGACACTGCAAGGCAACCAGACATACTTTACAATAAAAATGATTGACATAAGCATTCATATGGAAACACATTAGAATTCTTGTTACATCAAAAAAGAGACCAAAGTAAAACATTTTGAGGAGATTTTGGTTTAGTTAGTGATTTCAGAAACGTTTTTGACGGTTTCTGCAAAGATGTTTGACCACTTTTTTACAATCACTCTTCTCTGCGTTTGCAAAGCAGAGTTGTTGTCATAAAGTTGTATTCAAATTCATCTTCCTGTCTGCAGTGGGTGTGAGGCCGGCGCCTCTTTTCTAACAGCGATGCAGCACTAGCGCACAAGGTCAGCTTCTCTCCTGTGGTTTCTTCTGCAATGGTATAGCCTGACTTCCTGTGAAAGATTACCATCTCGCCTCTCATATTCTCATTGATACTTATCTTTTGAGCCGCTAACACCAACTCCCCAAACATCTCCACGTCTCGGCCCCCAGTGACAGCTCATCGGCTAGTCAATCTGGCAGGTCATTCTGTGTCCTCAACATGCCCTCGTCCCCCCCAGACTCATCCTTGTCCCAACAGCCAAAAAATGAGCCTGCTGTGTCCTGGACCTGTCAGGAAGAAATAGGATCCACAGTCCCGCTCTAGGGTGTTAGCAACACAGAAGTTTAAAGTGGGTGAAAAGCACATCGAGATGATTTTTTTTTTTTTGCACATCAGATTCTGACAGAGGTTAAAGAAAAGATATTCAATTCCCAACTCCGTAGGAAGTGTGCATTTTATCGCGGTGGTAAACCGCTGAGGCAGTGTATATCAGTTCCCTACAAACAGAAATAACCAGAAAGTGACACTAACTGCGAGCTGACATTTCCTTCACGAAGCATAACTGCACCTTAGCAAGTTGACAAGGACATTTTTTTGAGTTTCAAATAAGCATTTATCAGTTTGTCTTCGCCTCAAAAGAACATAAACTGATGGATCGTGTGGTTTTTTTTTTTCAGTGTGTCTCAAATAAACTGCACTTTAAAGCATCTCATTTGTCTTGTCAAGTCAGAGCATCTACAGTCATCTAAGCAGCTCTGTGACACAAACAGCTTAAAATGTTCTTGTCACCATGCTAACGTGTCGGCGTCTAGCTGTGGCTTTGAAGGCTGGAAAAAGTTCACCACCCACCCTTCAACTTTCAACTGCCTGTCACAATTACAGATCAAGGCTGGATTTTCAGGGAAATTAAAGTCAACAGGATGAAATCAGAAATTTTTTACTTCTTTTCCGGGTTAAACAAGGAATCTCCCATGTAAATAAATCAAACCAATTTAACCACATTTAGGCAAACTCAAACAATCCCTTTTCTTCTGAACAATAAAAAAGCCCCCTGACATTAAGTCAATCTGTCAGATAGATAAGCACGCAGGGGGGAGAAATGAATGACATCCTCCCTGATGAGCAAGTGATTCAAGCAGTGAATAATTAAAGCCCTGAGCTGCGATAGGAATCTGTAGACGCTTGCCTCGGATAATACTTGAAGGATATCAGAGGCTTTTGGTGCGAGGAGGTGGCGGCTGAGACGACATTAGTCACCCTCTGTGTGCCCCGGGCAGCCGTCAGGACACTGTGCTGAAGGTCAGGAGATGACGGATGGCCAGAGATGGGTGCTGCCTCACCCGCTGAAGTTGGCTAGAAAATGAATGTCCCATACATGAAATATTATCCTCGTGGAGAGAGATACCCGATCGGACACTGCAGTAATGTGTCACACCTATATGAACTTTGTGAAAAGATGTGGTCCATCAACATGATAGAAAGCCACTGAGATGGAAGAACATAAAAAGATATCTGTTTAGCCAAATAATTCATAAGTCATTCATTTTATTTTTAGTTATTAAAATAGGTCAGTGCCACAAGTTATTTTTCCTCCCAAATCCAACTCAAGTCACAAGTTTTTAAGAGGGAAGCTCAAGGTAAGCCTTAAATCTCGTCTTCCAAGTCCGAATCCAGTTTGGAAATCTTTACTTCAAACAAAGTCTTACACTCTGAGTCCCAGCCAACCTTATAAGAAGCATTTCCATAATCACATCTCTAGTTTTCTGTGCCAGGTCAGGTCTTTTCCCCAGAGTTAATTTCTCAACACTTTAGTCTTGAGTTCAAATCCAGTCTCAAAAATTTTGCTCCAACTTTAAGCTAAGCCGTTCAGCCCAAGTTGTAGTCTTGTTTCAATCTCTATGAGGGGCTGAATCATGGCATAAAGGTTCAGCCACAAACACAACATTAATGTTTTTACATAATGTTTGATTAGCAAAACGTCTTTCATGTTAATTCCAACTGTAAAGAAACAGAAAGACTGTCTGAAATTGATTAACATACAACAAACCAAAACGGCATACTGTTATAACACAAACAGGATAATTTGTGTTTTATGAGAAAAGGTAGTGCATTCCTACAAATCTTATACTGAACAGATTAGGCCCCTCCAGTTTTTCACAAATAACCGCAAAATTCACACAAAAATCAACACTATGACAGTTTTTGTTTTATTTATGTCCAAATCAGAAGTTTTCATGCATTTTGTCTGTCTGGATCTGGAAGTCCCACAGGACCTTAGCTCTGGCGTTCTCCACCA